TATACACAGCGATAACAATCTAATGAAACACAATTTCATTAAAACCGTTTAGTGAAAAACAAAATTCTATTATTTTAATTTGATTCATTTTGAAATTACTTGCTCCATCCTCAGAAATCCAATATCATAATCATTTTGAAATTATCCTTCTTTTTTTTTTTTAAACTTTCAGTTATTACTCACATGTCGCGAATCAAATTAAAAAGAAAACATTCACCTTAACACAAAAGCAGAAGATGTCTGAAATTTCAGCAAAGAAATTGCTCGAAATAAAGTTTCATAGAAAATTTTAAAGGTCAAGTATTTCAGAAATTTAAAAAAAACATAATTTCATTTGTGTGAGTATTTCAGAAATTTTTTTCTTTCCAAAGACATTTAAGATGAATTTTTAGTTATAAGATATATCAGTGTATTCCTCTTTTCATTTTAAGTTAGTCGATCAAAAAACTGGTGTCATGTTAAAGCTAGTTTAAAGTTGAAAGTTTAGTTTTTAAAAGAAAATCATGATGTACTTACTATATAACAAGAATTGTTTTCAAGCTATAAAAAGCTTATAAAAAGAAAATATTTTTTGTAAGAGAGACATTTAAGAGGAATTTTTAGTTATAACATATATCTGTGTAATCCAACTTTTCATTTTAAATTGAGTTGGTCCAAAAAACAGGTGTCCTGTTAAGAAAGATCCGAACTATAGTTAGTTTCTAAAGTTGAAAGGATAGTTTAAAAGAAAATCATGATGTACTTACTATATAACAAGAATTATTTTCAAAGTTATAAAAAAAGTTCATAAGCTTTATTTTAGGTTTACATTTAGTTTAAAACTTATCCAAAAACATTAAAAAGAAAAATGTCTTAGATGCATCACCTTACAAAAAATAACCTTAGACAACAAAAATTTAATAGATATGTTACACAAAAGAAAACAATTCGAGTCATTAATTGTTGATTTTATTGTTAGGAGCAAGATATACAATTTAAGAAAACAAAATCTCTACGACAGAATTGCAATTTATTGTTGTGTTCTATACTAGGTATAGAGCGATTTATTGTTGTGTTTGATACTTAGCATCAAAATCATTTCTTGTAATAGATAATGTAAGTTAGAAATTTAGTCTTAGATCCTTTTCTTTTTATGAAATCATGAGTATGTTTTTTTTTAAAAATTTTTTTAGCTTTTTATTTAATTTTTAAATTTTTTTATTTTTTAATTTAGCAGTTTTATTTTAATATTTTTATAAGTTAATGTATTTTTTAAAAAAAAAATTATGAATTTTTTAAAATAATTTATTTAGTTTTTAAATTTTATAAATTTTTTGTTAATTATTTGTTTTTTTTTTTTTTTAAATTTTTTTTACCAATTTTTATTAATTTTTAAATTTTGTTAATTATTTATTTTTTAATTTTATAAATATTTTATTAATTTTATAAATATTTTATTAATTTTATAAATATTTTATTAATTTTATAAATATTTTATTAATTTTAAAAATAATTTTAATTATTTTTTGTTTTTAATTTTGTTTTTCATGGGATGTCAGTTCCACACTGCAGTACACTGAGGATTAGACACAACAATATGATCGCTATACTGAATAGTTATTTTATTCATTCTGCTTTTTTCAACTAGTTGACAAATTCTAAACATAAATTTAATAAAAATAAAACATACTTTTATAATGATGCATAAATAACCCACATATAATAAACCGTATGTATAAATAATAAAAATAAAACATACGTATCATAAACCATGCTTTATTTAATATGATATACACAGCTTAATAACAATGTAATGAAATACAATTTCATTAAAACAGTTACGTAAAAATAAAATTGTATTTTAATTTGATTCATCTTTGTGACTACTTGTTTCATATCCAGAAATTCAATATCATCATTTTATTTCGAAAAATTATCTCTTTTTAAAAAATTTTTTTAGTTATTACTTAAATGTCGCGAATCAAATTAAAAGAAAACATTCACCGAACTCAAGAGCAGAAGATGTCTGAAATTTCAGTAAAGAAATTATATTTTGTAATAAAGTTTTATAGAAATTTTAAAAGGTCAAGTATTTATTTCAGAAATTTGAAAACATAATTTCATTTGTCTGAGTATGTCAGAAACTTTTGTTTTTCAGAGACATTTAGAAATAATTTTTAGTTATAAGATAAATCTGTGTAATGCAACTTTTCATTTTAAGTTAGTTGATCAAAAAAAAAAACTGGTGTCATGTTAAAGATAGTTTCTAAAGTTGAAAGGATTGTTTTAAAAGAAAATCATGATGTACTGACTATATAACAAGAATCATTTTAAAAAGTTATTAAAAAGTACATAATCTTTATTTGTTACATTTTAGTTTAAACTTATCAAATCAGATACATTAAAAAAGAAAAAAGTTTTTATCAATGGATCACCTTACAAAAGAAATAATCATAGACAATAAGAATCTAATAGATTATGTTAAGCAAAAAGAAAACAATTTGTGCCATTAATTGTTGATTCCATTGTTAGTAGCATTGTAAAAAATACAATTTAAGAAAATTGCGAATTGCGATTTATTGTTGTGTTCCATACTAGATGTTGTGTTTAATGCTTAGTATCAAAAATATCATTTCTTATAATTGTTAATGTAAGTTAGGAGATTTAGTCTTGGATTCATTTTTTATGAAATAATTATTGTTCTTTTAAAATTTTTTTAGCGTTTATTTAATTGTTTTAATTTATTTTTATTTAATTTGACAGTTTTTTTTATTATTTTATTAGTTAAATGTTTTTTAAACTTATTAATTTTTAAAAAATGATTTATTAATTTTTTTAAAATTTTATTAATTTTTTTTGTTAATAATTTGTTTTTACAAATTTTATTAATTTTAAATTTTTATAATTATTTGGGTTTTTAATTTTTGAAATATTTTATTAATTTTTAAAATTTTTTTAATTAATTGGTTTTTAATTTTTTCATGGTCTGTCGGACCCATATTGCAATACATTGAGGATTATACACAACATTAATATGATCGCATTACTGAATATTTTTTTTTTTTTATTCTGATATTTTCAACCAGATAACAAATTATAAACATAAACTTAAAAAAAAATATATATATATCTTTTCCATACTTATGTTATAAATAACCTATTTATAATAAACCATATGTATAAATAATTAAATAAACGTATCATAAACAATGCTTTATTTAATATGATATACACAGCAATAAGTATAAAATGAAAAACAAATTCATTAAAACCGTTAAGTAAAAAGATGAAATTGCATTTTAATTTGATTCATCTTTGAGACTACTTGTTTCATCTTCAGAAATTCAATATCACAATTTAATTTTGAAATTATAACTTTTTTAAACTTTTAGTTACATGTCGTGTAACAAATTAAAAGAAAACATTTGTCGAACACAAGAGCAAAAGATGTCTGAAATTTCAGGAAAGAAATTACTTGAAATAAAAGTTTTATAGAAATTTTAAAGGTCAAGTATTTCAGAAATTTAAAAAAAAACATAATTTCATTTGTCCGAGTATTTCAGAAAATGTTTTTTGTCAGAGACATTTAAGACGTATTTTTAGTAATAACATATAATCCATCTTTTCATTTTAAATCGAGTTGTTCAAAAACAGGTGTCATGTTAAAGCTAGTTTCCAAAGTTGAAAAGATAGTTTTTAAAGAAAAATCATGATGTACTTACTATATAACAAGAATTGTTTAGTTGAATTTATAAAAAGTTCATAAACTTTATTTGGTTACATATTAAAGTTATCAAAAGAGATACATTAAAAAGAAAAAAAGTCTTATCATTGGATTACCTTACAAAATAATATCTATAGACAAGAATTTCTAGTCCCTAATTGTTGATTTCATTGTTATGAGCATTATAAAAATACATTTTGAGAAAATAATATCTCTACTAAAGAATGTGATTTATTGTTACATTTCATACTGTATTTTAGTATCAAAATTATCATTTTTAAAAATTTGATAACATAAGTTAAAAAATTTGGTCTTCTGTTTCTAATCAGTTTTTTATTATGACATCATTATTATGTTTATTTAATTTTTTTAATTTAATGGTTTTTAAAATTATTTTTTAGTTTTTGTTAATTTAAAAAAAAAAAATTCATTAATTTAAAAAAAAAAAATTAAGTATATTTTTTAATTTAATTTTTTTGATGATATTGATAGTTTGAATAATTGATGAAACATGCATTAATCATTTTTTTCCTTGCATCCATGAACTGTTGTGTTACCTTGAATGGTTACGTTAAATCTTTCAAATGGACTTTTATTTGTTTAACGTCGGTGGGCCTCATGCATCACTGTTGTTGTCATTTTGGAAGGGGGGAGGGAAGGGGAGGGGAAGGGCTTATCCCATGTGGTCACCACTTATTTCTTATCGCTAATGGTCGCCACATTAGCAAATCTAGAACAAACCCAGGGACCCATGTATTCCCATGTAAATGCCCCACATTTGATTGTCATATGGAATAAAACCCAGAAAAACTCCCTTCCCAGAAGCCTGATTATCGATGTAAGATTATTTACACACCATAATAGCCATCGAATCTCCTCGTTTCATAAAGCAGTGACTACAGAAAGCGGCCAGCGGATTCGAAGCAGTCGTCTTGCACACTGGGCAAAAAGAGGGCGTTCAATGGGATAGAGTTGGAAAAAAAGGGATAGATTCAAACAATAAACTCGAGGTGCTCATTCGAAAAGGAGTGGCGAAATATGAATATAACAATCTTCCCGTGATGCAATCTATTATCTAGATAGTAAAAATTTTTCCGTGATCTTATCTATTATCTAGTAGCTGAAACTGCTACAATTCTGTTGTTTGAGGTCGAATGATTTAAGCCCACATGCTAAAAATTCGGTAACAATAATTAATTACAAAAAGACTACAAGCCAATGTTAAAACAGAATTCTGTGATAGTTGAACTGTAGTATATTTCTACAACGAAATGCTAGTTTAAAACCTTTCTTCCCAGCCGCCGTAGCTCAGTGGTTAGAGCACTGGTCTCGTAAACCAGGGGTCGTGAGTTCTGAACCTCACTGGCGGCTGGTTGTTTTTTCCTCCATTTTAGTTGTTTTTTTTTATAATAGAAAATCATTTTAAAATAAACAAAAGTCTCCTAAGCGGACTAAATTCCTCCAAATTCGTTACTGCATTCGATATTTGTGTAGTAACCTATGTTGATTGATTCATTATTTGGCATAAAGAATTCCATAATTTTCATTGCTTCAGCTAAAATATGATTTTTAAAATAATAAATGCCTTAATAAATTAAAAAATTGCCTGAAATTTAAAAATAAATGCCTTAAATGTATCGCTATTGCACTCTGAAACCAGAAGTTCACAGAGCTTGCTATTCGAAAACAACTCTTTTTTTTTTCCAAATAAGCTATTTTTAAGATTAAAAAAAATTATTTTAAAAATGGGAAAAAGTTTATATGAAAGAAACTGAAATATTCTTTTAATACATGTATTTAATCACCGGAATCTGCTTTCTAACAATATTTCCTACTAGACTCGTTTTAGCTGGCAGGAAGAATAAGTATCGAATTCACTCGCTATGTGCATTGTAGTTATTGGTTTTGGAAAAAAGAAGAGATACAGCTTAATTTTTTATTTGTGTCAAATAAAATTCGTTTTAATAAATCGAAAATGTGGTCAATCTTGTATCTGTAATAATAGACACCACAATGCCGCAGAATCTCCACCGAGTCTGCTCATTTCTGTGTTTGTGTAGCTATGCTACCTCTCCTACTTGAGAAAAATATAATTTGTTACGTTGGTAATGAGAAAATTAAAGTTTATAATTTGTATTAATCCGATTTATTTGAAGAGACATGAGCTCTAAAAGTGAAAATATAATTTCAAAGAAGAATAAACAAATTTCAAAGAATTCATCATAAAATATCTTTTTTTGAAAGAAATTAAAAAAAAAAAAAAAAATCCAAAATTTCTTGTTTAAGATTGTAGAGTCATTTGTAATTTCTTAATTCATCAAGCATTTATAATCAACTTACTTTAATAAAGATTTTTAGTTTTCAGTTTTTTTCTAACCTTCAGAACTGAATGAATGAAGATAACGGTTAATTTAATTTGAAAGAAACTTGTCTTTATTCATGTGAACAGTAATATTAATAAAAAAAATTGACATTTTTATGAAGTTGGAATCATAAATCAAATTCTTTTTCACATAAATTATGAACTTTATTTAGAAAATTAATTGAAGCATTTACGAAGTGTAATTAATTTGAGGAACTAATTTAATTTTCTTAATTATAATAAAAATATACAAGCATAAAGAGTTCTAAACGAAGGTAAGTTAATTTTTTCGACCCCCTCCCCCCCAGTTTTTGGTGATTTTATGAATTTAAAAAAAAAAAAAAGTACGGTTTAAGAAAAGAGTTGGTCTTGGGTCAAAAGTAAGCAATTTCCTAATTAGTAGAATTGCAAATTCTTTTTTTGTGTTATTACGAAATGTTCTTATCTAATTAAAACATTCTACGGTTTTTGTTTGAATTTTATCTTTGTAAAAAATGTGTTTTTAATTAATTTCAGTTGTAAATAATTTTTTGTCTATAATAATTAAAATTCATATTCACATTAAATAGCTTTTCATTATTATGAATAAGTATTACAAAATTTCTCGTTGTATAAAGAGGTTAAAGAACATTTTCGTTATTTCTTAATTTTTCGAAAAAATAGACAGAAATTATCAAAGCTATCACCGAAAGTTTCAAAAAGACAAAAATAATGATAAAAAAGACAATGATAGACAATTCGTGATATGTAACATATTAGTGTATGGTATGAAATAATGGAAATTAGTGTATGGCCTGAAGTAATGGGAAATTAGTGTAGGGCATTAAGAAATGAAATTAGTGTAGGGCATTAAGAAATGGGAAATTAGTGTAGGGCATAAGGTAATGGGAAATTAAATTATTATATGATATGGGCTAATGAGAAGGTACGGATTAATGCAAAGATAGGAGATGATGGGGAAGAGATGTATTGATGGGAAAGCATGAGATGATGTAAATTAACATATTCCATGGAACAATGGAAAAGCATAGGATAATGTAAATTAGTATATGCTATGAAAATTTGAAAACATGGATGTTGGAAATTAGTGTATGCTTTAAAAGTGTATGTTTTATGAGGAGAAAGCATGAAATGGCGGAAGTTAGAGTATGACTTGGAATGATGTGAAAGCATAGAATGATGGAAATTAGTGTATGAAAATTGATGTGAAAGCATAGGATGGTTGGAAATTAGCGTATACTTTAGAACGATGAGAAGGCATGGGTTGAATGAAATTAGAATAAATCATGGAACACTAAGCATCGGATGCTGGAATGGGGTATGCTATAGAACAATGGGAAAACATGGAATAAAGGAAGTTAGTGGAGTGATGGGAAATGGAATGATGGAAAGCATAGTATAATGGAAATTGGTGCATGTATACTTTAGAACAATAAGAAAGCTTGAGATGATGGTAATTAGTGTATGCTATGCAATGATAGGATAGCATGGGTAAAAGGAAATTAGTGTAAGCCATGGAACTATAAGTATGGTATGATGGAAATTGGTGTATGCTGTAGAACAATGGGAAAGCATGGAATAAAGGAGATTAGTGAATGTTATGTAATGATGAGAAAATGGTATGATGAAATTAATGTATGTAATAATCTGTAATCTTCAGAATGGTGGGAAATTGGGATGATTTGAAATTAGAATAAAGCACGGAAAGATAAGTTTGGATGATGGAAATTGTGTATGCTGTAGAACAATGGGAAAGCATGGAATAAAGGAGATTAGTGAATGTCATGTAATGATGGGAAACCATGGTATGATGAAATTAATGTATGTAATAATCTGTAATCTTCAGAACGATGGGAAAGTACGGATGACGGAAATTAGAATAAAGCACGGAAAGATAAGCATTGGATGATGGAAATTTGTGTATGTAGAACAATGGGAAAGCATGGGATAAAGGAGTGTATCTCACGGAATGATGGGAAAGCATGTTATAATGGAAATTAGTGTATGCCATGGAACAACGGGAAAGCAGGGTATGATGTAAATTAGTGTATGCTTTAGAACGATGGGAAAGCATGAGATGAAAGAAATTAGTGTATGCCATGGAAGGATGGAAATTAATGTATGCCGTAGAATGACGAAAAAGTAGTGTATTACTCTAAAATGATTGAAAATTAGTATATGACATGGGATTATGGAAAGAAAAGGAAGACATGAGATGATGGAAGGTATGGATGTTGTGAAATATGTATATATCACGGGATAAGGTGATATGGAAGCATAGGATGATGGGAATGTATGGGATGATGAGAAAGCAAGGGAAGAGAAATGAGGGCATACTGAACAGAGTAGGGATGATGTGAAGGTAATTATCATCCTCAAAATATTTGTTTGTCAGATACATAAGTATAAATCACACTTTAATTTTTGTCATCACCAGTTCTCATTTAAATGCTTGTTATGATACTTAAAAATAGAATTTAAACTGTATTTATACACAAGAATAAAATTATTTGTATTTGAGTTTTGTTCGAATGTCCTTTGTATATCTGGAAAAGTTTTAATACTTTCTTAGTCTATAGCTAAAAATATCAATAAAATAGAAGAACAGTTGTTTTCGTATATTTGCCACTTTAACTTGGGGGAACCTGGGGTTCTTACCAATAGACCACAATTATTATTATTTTTTTTCAGATTATGAACAGTTAAAGCAAAAAGAACAACGAAAAAAAAACATACAACATACAACAGCAACAAAATAATACAACAAATACAACAAACATGCTGAAACAGAGTTCATTAATCTAACAATAATGCCAAGTTGCAGATCTTTTAGCCACTCAAAAAGTGTTACCAGGTGCACCACGGGGAGGTAGATCTTCTGCGCACCCTAGACCAGAATTATAGCAGATGCAACACAATGATGCACCATGTGAGGATTATTACATTCCACCCTCTTTGTGCCACCTAATTTGAATGGACATCCCAGAAGCATTCTGAGGTGCTGCCCCCTTATTCACGAGCAAAAATTAAAAGACAATTTGGCTTACAGATTTATCAAGTCCCTTTCAGCATAGATATAGAAGCTTTTCAGTTTGGATCTTTGCATTGAAGATATATAATACGGCCCTCTTCTGAAATCAAAACATTTATTCATTATGTTGTTATTGTGTCCATTCTTCAAGGTTCAGCAGTGGATGGGCATGTCATGAGTAATCTACTCATGGACGGACGGAAGAGGGGGCAATTTCTGATTTTGTGATGGATCACCAGAAAGTATAAGTCTGACTTGTATCCGTGATTCTGAAGGAGGTGGGAAGCGCTGGAGTATATTTAGAGGGAACTACCTGAATTTGCGAACTAACGAACTAAAAATGCTGAACATCATAAACACCATCGAGTGTCCTCGTTTTTTGAAATAGTGCCTACAATAAAAAGCCCCAACGGATTGAACTCAACCCTAATGCCAATAATGGCTACTCATTAGCTATGAGTAGCCATTGGTGAGCTATGAGTTGGGTTACCACTGAGCTATGAGTAGCCATTGGTAAGCTATGAGTCGGGTTACCACTGAGCTAGAGTCGGGCCTTTATCCATTTTACGCTGAAGCAGACAGATTGATAAATTTTTTAAAGATGAAAATATTTTAAAAATCCAAATACTTAACGAAATGCATAATAAGTCTTTTACAAATATGAAATTATATAATATAAAAACACAGAGTATATTTTAGAGAGACGAACAAAATTCATTGAAAGCAATTTTGGATTTGAAAATATTTTATATAAAAATATAAAACTTTTACATTTCTATCTTATTTACTTTATCTTATCCAAAATGGATTTTTATAGGTAATCTAGGCATAAAAGATTCTATTCAAAGCCACAACTAAGATATTTTTTTTTTATAAAATACAAAAAAAGCTTGCATTTGTGCTTTAAAAATAAAAATCCGATATTTCGAGTTCCCCATAACCATGAACTTCAAAACGTCGTAACAGAATGGGGGGGGG